GGAAAATAAATGGTTTTGAAAACATTTTCCAAAAGCCAATCACTTGTATTGCTTGAAATAAGTCAATAAAAAATACTTCCATTACTGATAACAATTTAAGTCTAAATATTTTCGTGGACAAAAAATATTTTCAGTCATTCGATTTTGTAGACAATACAAACTATCATTTTTAAGAAAATATTTTCCAAATCATTCATTTTCCAAGAAACAAACACACCCTAAGTTTAATTCAATAAATTTCACTAATCAATCCATACTCACATCTCCTGCTGCCTAAGAGAGGAGACTCTCACACCCAATTTTATTTGTGTATGCAACAACTTCACTTTCTTCAAGCCCCATGAAGATATCCAGGTAGGCAAAATATGCTCCAGTTTGGAAACCTGTGCTGGGGAGAGGACTGCCACGCATTCACGCAAGGAATTAAAAATCCTATTTGGAACAGGAAAATCAAATGTCTCCATATAATTTAAACACAATCATAGCCCTCGCATGGCATTACCTTGTCCAGTTTCCATAAAATGCTGCAAAACGATTGAACTCCTTTCGACATTTAACGAAGTCAGTGCAAGGCACTGAACAGCCTTGTAATTTGCTGCACAAAAGGAAAATAAAAGTTGTACCGCCAGATTAGTGAAAAAAAAAGAACCTCACTGGTTAACTTTTGCTGTTTAAATTAAATGATTATAAATTTATAAGTAACAGAAGTTGTGAAATTTATATCTTATAATTCTCTAATAGAAAACAAGTGATCTCCTATAGATCTAGAACAAGTGTAGAGCTTCACAAATGAATCCGTATGACTAGAAATATTTTTTTCTAGAAACTGGACAAAATCACCGCCCCTTGTTTTAGTTCTGCCAGCAATTGGCACCAAAAGTTGTATAAATGCCAACAAAGCACTTTCTTCTGATCAGCCCAATTATTGTGCATATCTATCCAACTCCATTTTCTGCTGTATAAATGAGAGTTGCTATCATCAACATCATGTGATACTGTGTTGACACAGAGATTTAGATTAAGCTCCTAGGTAGTACTAAAACATAACGGATTCTGGTTCTCTTATTTAAATGTGGAATCAACTTTGCAGAGGGAAACAAGAGCTGTGAACGCCAGATTGATGGAGAAAAGCAAGCTAACTTACCATACATGTGGAAAATGGTAAGTGAGAGAAAAGAAAACCAAATAACTAGAGGATGTCCAATTGTAACACGCGCAAGAAGCATTCCCAATGCCATGCCAATCATTGTAGCAACAGTCTCCTGACTTCCCTCCTGTATATACACACACTCAACACACTGGTTAGTAAATGACACCAGCACATGGATATGCCACATGACAATGGAGCAGCACACCTAATAGCCATACAGTACCTTCGCAGATATATCCGCTGCATTATTCTGAAGGGCAAAATGCTGAGTCAAAGCAGCTCTAGTTGCTCCACTAGCAACACCAGCTAATCAGGAAAAATGCGGAATATGCTCATCAGTACGATAATATCCCATTGTTCTGCAACAAGACATTCTAACTGCCATATTATACCACCCACCCACCCGCCCCCCACCCCCCCTCCCAAAGAAAAAAAGGGAAAGCAAAATTGATAACTTGGTGAGCAATAGTTCATTTCACAGTCTCATGGATAGTCAGTGTTGCATCAAAACTGGCAATTTCAGTAGCTTATGGCACATGGCAAAAAAGAACTCATCTCACAGAGATTCACAATAATCAAGTGAATATATCCTGACTAACAGATTTGAAAGTTTTATCTAATCGAGATGTCAATAATTGATGTCGTTGAAGGGATAAAGCACTTACTGAAAGATCTCGAAAGGCTTCCTAAGCAAACAACAAAAACAAATGCTGAAGGATACAAGGGGGAGACGAGATCCATCAACATCCCTGCAACCAACATGACAGCATCTAGTGACCATTTTTCCTTCTTCAAATATCTGCCAAAAAAGCACCTCTCCTCCCTTAATGGAGTGCAGCTTAATGTCATAAAATACAAGTAATTCTATCACTGCAGTTTTATATGCAATAAAAGAACATAATAGAAGTAAAGGAAAGAAGGCAATACCCTGCTGAACTGACCTAGGTATTATATTATTAGTTAAAATGAGTAAGATATCTTGTTCTTTGGTGGTTAAAACTGAGTGTGTTAAATAATCAATCTTTCTCCTATAAGTTACACACTAATTAGCAATCAGGAGTCTTGGCTGGACAAGTTCATCGCAATCAAGAGATTTACATTTTAAAAGGCAGTAAAAGCCCAACAAAAATTTTGAAGTATGTTCTTTTTATGTTGGCATGATAAATGAGCTAAAAGGTATAATAAAAAGGATACACATGTAACTATGTAAGAACATATATATGTAAGGTAACAGACTGACAGCACATAAGAGTCACAGGCAAAGAGCCCATCGAATAAAAATTTCTCTACATCGAATCCCTACATTGCCGTGATAGTGAAAAATCAGCGAAGTTGAAGATAGGCAATAGATGAAAGGTAAGTCAGAACCATGAAAGATATGAAGTATGCTCAAGTTGAGATGAAATGAGATAAAAATGACGCGAAGAAGTCAATAAGAAGTTTACTTGAGAGAGAGAGAGAGAGAGAGAGAGAGAGAGAGAGAGAGAGAGAGAGAGTTGGCAGTTCAAGGCATACCGAGATCATTCATGAGGTCGGCAACCAAACGCCACATTTTGGCATTGCTATCCAAATTTGAACCCTGAGTATGCAGCATCTCAACCGCTTAATTTACCAGCTCTAACATCAATCAAGAATTCTATTCAAATAATAAAGCTCATATTCTGAGGGAGCACATATCAAGTCACACATCTAGAGCCAGAAAAAAAAATCTATGTGCCCCGAAACAACTATATTGTCTTTGCAGGACCATTTATCTTAAGACTGAATAGTTGACATTATGCAGAAGATATCAATGCACACCTGGTAGAATGTGAATAAAATGCCTCCAACCATGCCGGTTAAATCCCTCAGAAACCACTGTGACAAAATTACAAAGTTAACTAGTTAGCCATTAGTTAACTTAAGCCAAGAAAAAGAAAGCACGTGGCTCGCGCTAGCAGTACCTGGAATGTCGCACCTAGAACAGTCGCTGATTTTTCACCAACTCCAATGGCACTCAGAAGAGCCTTGAAAGTGATTAAAACGCAAAGCAATCAGATGCATAGCATTACCCGTAGATTTTCAGACCACTTTGCTGAGAAGTGAGCCTCACCTGAGTGGAAAGCATGGTCCTTATGTAGGTCGAAAGGCCCTACAGAGGGAACCAAAGCAATTAATTCTAGTAGTAAAAGATTGATAGAGCCAATCAGATTGATCGGATTATGACAATTAATTAAAAAGTTCAATGCACCTGCAATGAATCCCAAACTTGGAAAGGGACATAATCAGGGGTTACACTGCTAGGAAAACCCTGCATTCACAGAAAGCACCATGAAAATCACAAGGGAATGTCAGAAACTTCATAACCTTACAGAAAATGATCAAATTTTCCGTCAGAAACTCCATAACTTCACACAAAAAGATCAAATTTTTCGTCAGAAACTAGCACGAGAGATCCACAAACAACAAACCCAAGACAGCCAATTATCCGAAAAACACAAATAGAGAATAAAAAATATTATAGAGAGTTAAATCACGATAGCTAGTCACCTCAGGGACAAATGCTTCAAGAACACGTCTCCAGACATGGCCGAACCGATTGCCCGATCTGTGGGGAAAAGAAAACTCAACTTTGGTCAGCTCAACACGAACTCGAGCGATGAACATGTAAGCGATGGAGTGTGCATAGTGGGAAAAAAAAAGCGACCTTTGTATGGAAAGGGAAGGAGCAGCAGTGATGATGGCGGTTCTTGAAAGCTCTGCAGAAGATGAGCCATTCCATTCTTCTATTATCAAAGTCCTGTCTCCAGAATTACCATCCCACGAGGGGATCAGTTCCCTTGCAGTTGAATCTTCCATGAACAGACGACGATTCAACCAGATTTCTCTTCACTGTCGTTTGTTTTCGGTTCAGCGGGAGGTGAAACATGCGTCCGCTCTCGAAGTGTTCGCTTGGTTTCACTTTCTGCAACCTCGTCTGTTTCGGAAAGATTCATCTTTTCTTCTCTGTCTCTGGTTAATGGAGAAATTACATTTTCCTTATTAACCATTTATATTTATTTACAGTAACCTACTTTCAATTTTAACCACTACTAGTGAATAACCGCGCCCTAGAACAAAGGGTAAATGGCACGGTTTCTGAACTTTGACTTAATCTACAATACGATTATTGAATTTTAAATTTATTCAATACGATCTTTAAACTTCAATTTAATGTTTAATATTGTCCTTAAAATTTTAATTCGTTCAATATAATCCATAAACTTTTAGTACCTGTTCAATATAGTTCATATACTGTATGAAAATGTTCAATGTTGTCCCTAGATTTAAATTAATGTAAAGATAATAATTGTAGTCCAAGGACTGAATTGAACATTTCAGATACCGTATTGAACAAATTAAAAATTCAGAAAACGACATTGCCCGTTGGGCTGACGTTCATGAATCACGTTAAACAAATTTAAAGTTCAAGAACTACAATGCACGTTGAGCCAAAGTTCATAGACTATTTTTGTCATTATAGCTAGAATAAACTATTATCTATGGAAAAGCTTATCATTATCATTATGGGATCCTATTAAAACTGAAATCTGTATTTATGACAATGAATTCATTGGAAATTTATATCGGAATGTTGTGCAAAATAAAGAAAAAAATTGAACTAGAATTTTATATCTTCTGAGGCACGACCTAGACAGTAATTATATAATAGAAAATGAAAGAACCGTGAAAATAGAATTTTAAAAAAATGAAATAATAACTAAATACGGTAATACTGTCAACTGCGATATTTCACTCTAGCTTTCCTGCACATAGCAATTTCCGCCTCAGCGATTCCTCATTCCCAATCCTGTACTTAGCCATTTTTCTGCAACTAGAGAGAGAGAGAGAGAGAGAGAAGGCACAAGAAAACCATAAGAAGCAGAGCAGAGCAGGCTCTGTTCTCCATGAACAGAAGATGTGGAGAAGAGCTCTGAATCTGCAGCTCCCACGACGCAGGCTCATCTTCTCCTTCTCCTCCTCACCCGAAGCCGAGACCCCATCATCCCTCTATTCCTTCCTCCAACCTTCCTTGTTCTCCCGCCGCAAGAACGCCCCTCCCTCTCCTCCTCCTCCTCCGCCGCCGCCGCCGCAGACCCTGACCCAGGAGCTGAAAACCGCCCTTGAGTCCGCCCTCCACAAGTCCATCCTCGCCCACGACACCGACGACGCCTGGAAGTCCTTCAAGGCCCTCACCTCCCACTCTTCCTTCCCCAGCAAGCCCCTCGCCAACTCCCTCGTCGCCCACTTGTCCTCTTTCTGCGACGCCCACAACCTCAAGAGGGCTTTCGCCTCCGCCGTCTACTTCATCGAGAAAGATCCTGGCTTGGTCGAGTTCGGGACCGTCTCGGCGCTGCTGGAGTCCATGAGACGGGCCGGGGCGGCGGCCCCGGCCTTTGCTCTGGTCAAGAGCATGTTCAAGAACAGGTACTTCATGCCCTTTGAGCTGTGGGGCAACCTGCTTGTTGAGATTTGTAGGGAGAATGGTCAGTTTGTTGGGTTTTTGCGGGTTTTCGAGGAGAGTTATAGGGTTGCTTTGGATGAGAAGCTGGATTTTATGAGGCCCAACTTGGCCGCTTGTAATGCGGCATTGGAGGGGTGCTGCCGGCACCTCGAGTCTGTGGCTGATGCGGAAAAGGTGGTGGAGACTATGTCGGTTTTGGGTGTTAGGCCAGATGAGTCGAGCTTTGGGTTTCTGGCTTACTTGTATGCCCTCAAGGGGCTTGAAGGAAAGATATCAGAGTTGGAGAATTTGATGGGTGGGTTTGGTCTTTTGAATAAAAGGGTGTTTTACAGTAATCTGATTAGCGGGTATGTTCAAGTGGGTAACTTTGAATCTGTTGTGGGAACTGTAATGCGGAGTCTGGGAGAGAGCAGTGGGGAAGATGCAAAATTTGGTGAGGAAACTTTCTCTGAAATAGTTAAAGGTTTTCTCAAGAATGGTAGTGGTAAAGAATTAGCACGTTTGATCGTCGAAGCTCAAAAGTTGGAGGCTGCTGAAACCGAGGCCGACCGTTCAGTTGGGTATGGCATAGTTAATGCTTGCATTAATCTTGGGCTGTCAGATAAGGCACACAGTATTCTTGATGAAATGAACATTCAAGGTGGTTCTGTAGGGCTCGGGGTCTATGTGCCAATCCTCAGGTCTTACTGCAAAGAGCATAGAACAGCTGAGGCTACTCAGTTGGTCATGGACATTAGCAGTTCAGGGCTTCAATTGGATATGGGGACCTATGATGCCCTGATAGAAGCATCTATGTCCAGCCAAGATTTTCAGTCGGCTTTTTCACTGTTCAGAGATATGAGAGATGCAAGAATAAGAGAGTTGAAAGGGAGTTACTTGACTATAATGACGGGCTTAATGGAAAATCACCGGCCAGAGTTGATGGCGGCCTTCTTAGATGAGGTTGTTGAGGATCCTCGGATTGAAGTGGGTACCCACGACTGGAATTCTATAATTCACGCCTTTTGTAAAGCTGGAAGATTGGAAGATGCTAGGAGAACTTTCAGAAGAATGGTGTTTTTGCAGTATGAACCGAATGCTCAAACATATTTATCCCTGATTAATGGGTATGTAACGGCAGAGAAATACTTTAGTGTCTTGCTTCTGTGGAATGAGATTAGAAGAAAGTTTGTTTCAGCTGACATAGAGAAAGGGATTAAATTTGATCACAGTTTGGTTGATGCATTCCTTTATGCTCTGGTTAAAGGGGGTTTCTTTGATGCGGTCATGCAAGTTGTGGAAAAATCTCAGGAGATGAAAATTTTTGTGGACAAGTGGAGGTACAAGCAAGCTTTCATGGAGAACCATAAGAAGCTCAAAGTGAATAAATTAAGAAAGAGAAACCACAGAAAAATGGAGGCACTGATTGCTTTCAAGAACTGGGCAGGTCTAAATGCTTGAGATTGTTGTTTTTTTGTCGACTCATTATTCACTCACAAACTTTGATGGTTTCATGCGGCTGATGATTATGATGTGAAACTCGAAGAAAGTGGAATTGGTAAAAGTAATGGAAGTTGCAGACGATTCCTGCCTGCAGATGATCCTTGCCTCACCTTCACATCTAAAAGATATGGCAGGTCTTAAAAATTGTGAGAAGGAGGAGCATTTCAGCGGTGCTCATTGCATTGTAACTGATAATTGATGAAATCAGGTGATGCTATAAGATGGAAAAGATCCAAGAACATATGATTAATGCTCATTCAAATATTCTCAAAGGCCTTGTCAGCAGTCAGCTCTTTTGGTGACAGATGAGAGCTCGTTTGCTTCTTGCTGGCACCGGAGGGAAATCCTGTGTTTGCCCTGTTTAAGGGTTTAAATTGAACAGAGGAGGAGATTTCAAGTTGGGAAGAGATCTGTAATGAAACCTGACAAGGCTTATTAATTCGTCTCCTCGTCCATCATGTCCAATATGAAAAGGACGATGGATAAGCAACATAATATGGCCCGGATGTGGACCTTTGCAGTTCCATCTTGTGGTTGGAATTTTTATTCAGATATTTCTTGGAGAGCAAAATTGTTCTCGTTACAGATGGGGAACTTTATATATTTTTTCGTACTATCTGATGTTTAAGAAAACATGTTGATTCTTTCGTGACTCCCTACAATGCTGTGGGCAAGTGTACAACTCGATCGTGCCTGATTTTACGGCAGATAAAAATAATTTTTGAGCCTACTGTTAATCCAACGACCGAGATTGAATCACTCCTATCCAACTTTCTACCGTGTGCACGACAACTTTACTGTGCGTAGAAGCACGGCATTGTGGACAACTACCTTCTGATTCACTTAGGCTGTGCATAGTAATCATTTTATATCCGGGAATAGATTGAAATGATTCTTTTTTATTCTGTGCCCGGAAATAATTTCTAAGCATTTGAAGGCATTTGGTAACTGTTCAAAATTTATATTCTTATAATAGAAAAAGAACAGAAATGCGTTTGGTAACTACACAAAATTTCATTTTATTAATAATATTTTGAATTTTTTTATTTTTTCTTTTTTTCTTTTTTTCCTTTCTCTTGGCCAAGGCCGGTCGCCGGCGAGGGCGTCATGGCCGTTGCCTGCGAGGGCGTCGTGGCCCTCGCCACCGCCCTCACAGCCGCCCTTGCCGGTCACGACGGCGAGGTCGACCTCGTCTTAGCTGGGCGAGGCTGACCTCGTCGTCGCGGCCTCGCCGTCACAGCAGCGAGCCGCCCTCACCGGCCCTGACCTGAGGCCGGTCGCCGGTGGCCGACGGGTGGCAGGCGGCGGGCCGAAGAACAACAACAAACCAAAAAAAAAAATGAAGAAGAATAAAAAATGGAAAAATTGTTCCAGAATCAAAAAGTTACTTTTTTTTGCTTTTTGATTCTATTTCAAAACTAATTCTGGGATTAATTTTTTGCAAAATTGTGCCCGGACACAAAAATTTTAACAAACGGATTTCTATTTTCAAACTGATTTTGAGAACAAAAGAACAGAAATTTTCACTATTTGACACGTTGCCAAACGGACCCTTAATGATTCTCTTCTGTACAAAACTCAGCTTTTAACATGAAAACTTGCAAGTGCCAATCTTCCCTTTGATACGCTTCCAATTTGTTGTTATGTTCCTGTTATTAGATGAGATCTGGTGAAGTTCAGTAGCTGCGAAGAAGGCTAGATTTTGGCATGGATAACGTGAAATCCGTTTAAGTATATGGGTAGACTTGTGTGTGAAACTGTAACCTGACAAAACATTGCTGCATAAACATTTTTTTATGGTCTCTATTGTATTTAAGTACCGTCCATAATTATATGCTGCATGCTCTATATTTGAGGACAGCCTGGATGTTATACAGCTAGAACATTTTCTGCTGACTTCCGTCGCCATTCTGCACAAAGTTCTTGACAGAAAGCGTGTGATGCTTTTAGCTAGTGCCCACTTATCAAAGCAGGCTCTGCTTTTTATGCAGGAAACATGGAGGATTTTGAAATGTGATTCCTCCACCGAAAAGGACGAATCAACCACCTTCTGCTTCCATTTCAAACGTAAACCTCCTCCATCCTGTTAAACCAGAACCCTCTCGTAAGCCATCTGCTGCCCTGCTTAAACCCATTTCACATTCAAACTCCCCACATTTTTCTCTGATGTCAGCTCCTCCAGTGATATGGCTCTTCATGTATCTCTTGGTTTTGTTTCCGTTTCTTCCAACTACGTTTGCCTCCATCCCTGCCGTTCCAATGAACTTCACCTGTCACAACACATGTGGCGCCATCCCCGTGAAGTACCCATTTGGCACCAGTTTCGGTTGTGGCCACCCGGACTTTGCTAGAAACGTTAGATGCAGCTCCACCGGCAAGCTCGAGTTCTCTACGGGAAGTGGGATTTACGATGTAGCCTCGATCGACTACTCCACCAGGACAATGATCATCACTGACCCTCTTATGTCGACTTGCGAATCGATGCAGAACTCCGGCAGCTTCAGCCTGGATCGAGCCAGCCCGTTCAGCGTTATGGATAACAACATCTTTGTGCTGCTCGGGTGCTCCACGAACTCTCCCGTGTTCGATCCATATGAGGACCTGTGCGACACCGGCTCGAACTCTCGCGTTTGTAGGGGTCTGTATTCTTGCAAGGGAGTGACCGGCATTGGACTACAGCAGAATGCGCCAGTGTCCACCTGCTGTGTTTACCAATCACCGACCGGGTTCGGTTCAAGTTATGCTTTGGATCTTCCAAAGCTCCAGTGCTCGTCTTACAGCGCGATATACGGGTTTGGAGATGATCGTGGAGATCCCTCAAAATGGAGGTTCGGGATTTCTGTGCAGTATAATGATTCTTACTCTATGGATGCGTGCACGGACTGCGAAGCAAGTGGGGGATTTTGTGGTTTCTCTGGCGTGGCCGAGTCGTTTGCTTGCCTCTGCCATAACGGTGTGAATACCACGAATAACTGTTTTGGCCGAGGTTTGTACCCATACGAAAACCTGAGAAGAGTGTAATGGTGGTGTGTGAATCTTGCTCTGATGTGGCACATATAGGAATTCGTATCATGAAAAGGTGGCACAATTGATAGCTTTGTGCCATTTGCCTTGAAACTACCTTTTTGCTGTGTCATTACTGTTTCTCCTTTCCTCTGATGTATTAGAATGTTTCAATCTTTGGGCTGTTTGGCTTGATACTGATACGTGTTTAATGTGATCAGGATATGCTTGGAGTGGGACATGGGGACCCAAGAGTCAAGCCAGGATCATCATATCAGGTACTGAAGTAGCCTAACCTTTCTTCTTTTTCCCCCTCAGCTCTCTACTTTCCCACCGATGACTTTTTCCCCCTCTCCTTTTTCTCCCCCTTCCTCCTGCTACAAAGTTCAGCTTGCTTGCAAGACTAAAAGTGTTTAAAATTCACTTAGGGGAATTATTAAGCTTTCCACTATAGTACTCCAATTGTTTTAACTTAATAGATTTAGAGTCAGGTTTATATGAGATTGGGATGGTCGCAAGGAAGGACACGTCATATTGTAAAATTAAAATTCCTTCTGAAATTGCTTCACAAATTCATACAACAAGAAAATGAACACTCCGAGTCACGTTCCCTTGGGCGACAATGCAATTGCATAATGTGGCGACAGATAAATTCTTGGCTAATATCTAATAGACAAGAAATCATATATAACAATTCGGACAGGGCCTATACTGGACTCCTAAGTTGTGTATACTATGTCTGAAGTAGAGACTTCAAGCCATTTAATTATCATTATTATATTTTTATCCTAATGCTGCCGATTACTCCAGTCCCGCCTAATGAAGGAAATATGTAGCCGTTGTTGGTATGCTGCTGCGTTATCTCCTGTAACGCATTCCCGTTGCCAGGTCTTCTCATAATTTATTTCATTTGTTATGGTAGGATTGATCCTCTGGTGGATTCTGCTCTCCATTTCACTGCCTCTATTCTGAATGTTCAATGCGCATGGAGGAGACTTGGTGATTTGCTGAATGCCTTGTTTAACTTTTCTTGAAGCTGACAAGGTTTCACAGTCGACCAGATCACGGCGAATATTTCTGGTTACTAGATCCTATGGTTTTGGAATGTGCTGTGAGATTCTCTGTTCAGGAATTAATGTGAATTCCCAATTCGCATAACCTCTGGAGTTTTGAGTGTGCAAAGTACGTGAAGGTTCGCCGGTTTTCATGTCATGTGACATCATGAATCACATTTTTCTTGTGTTGGAGGGCTTGCGATTAAATTTAAGAAAATGAACTAGCAGCAGAAGCAGATGATGCTTATTCGGGGGATTTACGTATTTATCTTTCCATATCGAGAACAACTTATTTCCGACAGATCGTATGGACATGTTAAGGAAGTAACGCGCCCCTGTCAACTGCTATCAAGACCAATCAATGAGATCAGCGGGCCTTAACGGAATCCATTATATCCGTGAAAGGCGAAAGTGTCAATTAAATTTCAGTGGCAAGACAAAAGGGTCGTGTAACTTTTAGTTAAAGGAAAGACATACTCCAGCATATGTAAAGAGGGCAATGGTATCATACATCGCGTAAGACACGGGAAATTCATCCAACTAAATCAACAAAAAATGGGGAATCAAACGAGCTCGACTTGCCACACATTGTATATTTTCTTCTTGATGTGATTGCCGTTGTGTACAATTGAGCGTGGCAAGCATATCGTTAGCATCATCGGTATGCTAGACGCACCAATGTTTGCCCATACATACGATCAGTAACTGACGGAAAATTTCTGCATCGGAAATTTAATAGCTACCTCGATAGTACACTTCTAATATCTCAAATAACCGCTATATCTCATTAAGTTATACCACGATATTAATTATTTGTCATATCAAAAGGGAATTTTACTCAGAGCATTGAAGTTCTCTATTGAAATGGTAACCTTGTTCATGCTATTATTGCAATGATTCGTCTGTCAAACTGGCGGTTTCCACGATAAGTAAGAATTTTGACTCTTCCAACACAACACCTTCCGGATTCAACATGTAGCCAAAAATAAACTTACAAGAAATCCCTTGCATGGATGCTAGAAGACAACGGAGAGAATGGAACTTACGCTCCACGAGAAATATCGTCGCTTACCTTTTCTGAACCATGTAGTTTCATTCTTGTCTGGTTGCTGCTGGACCGAACGGTTCTGGTGGCCTGGAATGTCCTGCCATGTAATATGTCATCACATGAATTCTCATGGATTCACTTTCCAAATGCCTTCACACAGATTGCAAAGAAAATTAGAACTCTACGTTCCCATAACGAATTTGGTTCAGTCCTTTCTTGCTTTAATGGGGTTTCCTTCCTGTTTCTGACTCCTAAGATTTCACTCTCTTACCAACGGTGGCGTCTTCTCAGCTGTATCACCTTCAATTTCAGTCTTTGGACAACCCATCGGTTTCGACTTGAACCCTTCATTTTCTTGATTTTAAATGAGGTAATTGTGCCGTCTTCAGTTTTTCCCACCTATTTGTGTGATTGAATTACCCTGTACGCGAGCGAGCAAGCGCGTTTTCTTTAGTAGAGAAGTTGGGCATGTGAACGTGGAAAAGAAAAGTTGAAGACATATATTAATCATGTTCTAAATCTTCTCTTTGCCTGTGATTTGATTGAGTTTTTTGTTCCTGAACAGAGAGTATGGATTTATGGGTTGTGGCAGCAGCTGCTGGCGCCAGTTATGCCGCGAAGCATTGGCGCCACATTTCGTCTCGGTGCAGGGAAGAGTCTTCGTCTGAGCCCTTTGGTAATGACTTTAAGTTCAGACAAGCCAAATTGAAGAGCTTTCTACAGCAAATCAGGGAGTCTCCTTTGCACAGATTGGTTCTTGCACAAGTAGGTGACCACGATGCTTTTGGGGACAATTTTTGGGAATTTGACCATTCTAACGGCAATCATGAAGAGAGAAAGAGGCCTGCAAGTTTGGGTAGCCATCCTAATCATGACGTACTTTCGCTGGTTAGTTACCAGCCAAGCTTACTTGAATGTGAGAGTCCCCATGAATTCGGAGTGGTTGTCCAAGGACATAGAGAGTCTGGTGACGAGTCTTTTCAGGGTTCAAGAGCTAATAAAAGCAGTAGATTCAGTGGGAGCAGGCAATTTAGGATTTCTGTGTCTGATGAAATAGCACTCAAGCCTGTCGATTCACTTGGGAATTTCATCGATATTGATACTCAGTTGTATAGCGAATATGTTAGAACCAAGAGGAGTGAGCATGACACACTCATGTCGCCCTCTAAATCTGCAGTGAGGCCTCTGCTGGTTACTGATGGGAGCCGAATAATCATAAGCAGGACCAGCAGCGGTTTCCATGTCGAGAGCAAAAATGGGAGAAAGATGCATCGAGAAGAAAGCGAATTGGATCAGGAAGAGACACTTTTAAGACATTTGGAGCTTCCCGAGATTGAATCCCGAGAGTCGTCAAGAAGACAGAAGCTAAGTACAGGTAAGAGAAATTCTACAAGGTCAATCATTTCTAGCGCAAGCGCATTTGCCGGTTCATTGCAATCACAAGGTCTGTTCTTTTTCTCCATATTCTCATTAACTACACAAAAATTATGAAGAATCTTTGGACTTAAGCTGGGATATTTGCTGCGATAGAATGATAGAAGTTCCGTCAATCCGAGTCTTTAATCAAAACCACCTTGATTTCACTTGTACAGACTTGAATCTCTCTTTTCTGTAAATTTTTGCAGAAAATCAAGAAAATGAATCAACATGATCGAAGCGATTCTATTATAACCTTAAACAACGTTGGTCACACAAAACAGAAAGTCAATATTAGCCGACTTGTTGATCTAACTAGAAGAATTGAGTTCAAATGCTACATAATGGCTAAAAGTGAGAAGTCTCAAGTGCCCAGCCTCAGGATGCAACTGTTGGGGTGCAGAAATAGAGCAATTGACCAAGTAAATGGGAGGAGCAACGTCAAAGTTGAAACATACTATAATGATGAACAGGCTTGTGTGTGTGTCCCATTTTTCTGAGACCTTTATTTGTATCTCCACTAATTCTTATACGACTATCATGTTTATCTTTGCGGTTTGTGTCCTCCTCAGGGTTGTACAATCGAATGCTGCTTTTCTTTGTCGGCTTAACAATTGGCGTGACGACCAGTGTAGTGGCAAACAAGAGGGAAGTGGATCTGTTAGATGAGAGGTTGAGGCAAGCACAAAGCCTAGTTCAGGATCTGCATGAGGAGCTTGAAATGAAGGACCTGTTAACTGTGAAGGAGATCGACACTGATGGTCCAAGAATCCCCGAAGACGGTGCTCACCCTTTTCTCAATGGGACAACGACCGCATCTTCCCCTGTCTATGAAATGGATAATTCCTCAAAGAGTCTTACGAGAGAGCCGAATGACGGTGCAGCGGAGAAGTCTGATGCCATGAGAGAAATCGAGGCAGAGCTTGAAGCTGAACTAGAGAGGTTGGAGCTGAACATGAAGCTGACTAGCGTGAAGAACACGTCAGATTTCGTTGAGGTAAGTCTGAATCTACAGTTGAGCTGCATGACATTTGGCCCAAGTCTTGACTAACCTTTATAGAGTACCTTGGTTACCTACGTTAAATCGTAATTGGCTGTTACATTTGGAACTCCTATTGACACATATGCACATGAAAACAAACATCGCTGCGCTTGATCGCCTCTAAATATTTTAGCATTGGCACAATAACAATTTGATCAAGACTAGAGGAAATTTCGATCGTTTAGACCGATACTTGCGCATTATTATTCGGGCGAGATCCAGTATCAATAGAGTCAGGGGTCTGATTACATTTAAATGAGCATATGAAAAAATGGCTGGCTTGCATGTGGCTGCCACCTTGAGCGGGATCGTAGTTTCAGCACAGGAACTTCACTTTCATCCAGTAATTTCAACCTGTGACATGTGATATAGATGAATTACATTTACTTGGGATAATTTGTTCATACGATTCTGTACTCGCTCAGGGAGATCTAAGACCAGAAGAAGTCGATTCCCAGCTAGAAGGTACATCAAAATCCGACCACGATGTCCGTGAGAGTTCAGACGGTCGAGCTTGTTCACCAAATTATGCAGTATCACCTCAAGAGCTGAGTTTTCGTCTTCATGAATTAATCGAGTCAAGGCTTGAGGAACGCATTGCTGAACTTGAGGCAGCCCTCGAAGCTAGCCAGAAGAAGTTGCGATTCCTACTACTCGAGAATGAAAACCGTCAAAGAGATTCAATTGGTGCTATTGCATCAACATCATCTGACCAATAGAACCCGACCTTACCCGATGAAACTTGCGAGACAGACAGACCCTTGGTTGCAGATTTGGTGGGGGCATCTCTGGGTGCATATAAGGAGGCCCGAGAAGAGATTATTGGGATAAGTGAATTAGATGGAGCAGATCAAACAGAAAGTAGATACAGAATTGAGCATAAAGAGATGGAATCGCATTCTCTTCAGGAAGACGACCAAATCAACTGGAGGGATAATTTAAGCACAAATAAGGCCGACGAAGGAAGATATTCAGATACTCTGCTTCATGAAAATGATAAAACCAGTATGGAATGGACACCAAGGAGCTGGGGATCAAGTTAGATGAGTGCAGAGACATGTAAGACATAGTTCCTTAAACAAGCTTCCGGTACTTGCAAGGTAGGGTATTGAGGATATAACCAGAATCGCACTTTCTTGATAGTGCAAATACCCAAAGTGAAACGAAGATAAATGTCCTCACATATTGCTCAACTCTAGACTAGGGTAGTGACAATATCTGTAATGAAAGTCGAATGTCAATGGCATATGTGGATCAGAGGACCTATTCTATCGAGAAATTGATATCACTCAACAACGGTTAACTTGTGATATATTTCTTCTTCCCGTTATTATTGACAATTGATCATCCATGAATTAGGACAGTCATCTTTTCTTTCTAGCCTGTGTCATCATTCAATAATAAGGCCTTACCTCGATACACAGCTCAAAATAAGAATCAGAATACATTCGCATTGCAACAAGCTTCGCTGGAAACTTTACAAGGGGAAAACTTTCTTATACCTAAAATAAAACAAAAAAGAGAAGTATAAGCCAGCACAAAATATACCAGTTACGAGGAGAACCCAATTGAAAACAGATGGATAGTCAAAAATTGTAGCTGCAAAGTTCATCCCAAAGATTCCCGCCACAACCGCAAAAATCGTAGCAACAAATGTGGCCGCTGTTAGCAGCAACTCAAATTGTATTAAATGGTTCTGAATGTTGCCCTGGTCCCAAGTAAAATGAAAGAGAAAAAGCTCATGAAGCATTAGTTGTCAAACAATGAGATCAAGATAATAAATGAAGACATCATTACAAATTCAATACTGCTCACCAGTTTGATATTGATCATATCTTCAGTGTCATCGATATACTCCTTAAGCTGCATTGCCAAATAAAAGAGCGAACAGTCTCAGCAACACCAGTCAAGAAAGTAAGATGTTCGTTGTTGATCATCTCTAGGAAGCATGTTGACTCAAGAAAGTACAGCTATCTACAAATAAAATTGAAGACTTTTTTAGGCCTAAGAGCAGCCAAATTTCCACTTAATTTCTGCAAATCAATAACATAATAGTCATTCTTTGGCAAATTTAATTACTGTGAGATTTTGTGGGACTACTGCCAACTATTCTAAAAGCTTAAGCCGTTAGTTGAAGGCATGGCTTTATATTTAATTACTCTAACAATTACAATGCCTGGAAAATCATAGAAATGATGAAATATGATCGTAAAGGATGTGTAACTAGGAGAGGAGGCTAAGTTGTTCAAAGACATATTCATTGGAACACATACCGATAACAGTTTGCTGAGAGTGTTGTCAATGACGACAAAGTATGCTTCAAGCAACATTTCCAGCTGATCAATGTTTTCACCACCACTAGATGAACTCAGAAAGCTTCCATGCTTGCTTGAACTTATGATGCTGCTAAAAGCCCTTTGCAGTTTGTGTCCCCCACTGAGTGACGCTACAGGTGAAACAGGTGCTGATTTAGAACCCAACCTAGCCACACCTGAATCATCAGTTTGGATGTACTGATCGCTTATGGAATATGCCTCAGAACTTTGTTTCTTCTCAGTGAGATACATCTCGGCCATGTCGCCATCATCATCCATGAGATGTTCAATCTCATCTCGGACCTGGAATTGCAAAAATCTTTGTGAAGAAGAGTAACACAGCCATAATTATCTGAAGGTGATTAGAATTATCAAATTACCTTCTGAACTCGCTGAGTCAAAGCAAGTAGATGACCCTTGAATCTACGGACCTGTTCTAGGTTAAGAGTACTTACAGATGTTATTAACTCATCCAAAACTGGATAAATTTCCATCTCCAAGTCCTTCACCTGTCAAATATAGAAGCTTCTCATATCATATGTTAAAAATGATAGGATGATTTAAAATAAAGAATGGCAACTGCATTAATCTATCAAAGTCACTTTAGTTTGAGTGTTCCTTGGTCATGTTAGATTAACAATATCAGGTCAGAGAATTTGACAAAAATCTCCACGATCACTGTTCTTTCTGGGTCCAATTTTTTCTGGGGTTGTAAGTCTTCCGTTATAAACAATTGCCCAGGAAAGGTCCACATATACATACTTCTAACCACACAATTAACAGGCTCAACACATTAAAGAAAAAGAAGACACTCTCTGATTCATCTCATATCATCAATCACTGCAGAAGTTACTGCATACCTGAGCATCAAGCGACGTGCATGTGAGTTCCAAAGCTAGCTCCAGTGCCCTAAATTCGAAAGGTAGGTCATCTGAATTAAGTAGGCAAATGTAAGCAATTTCAAGTGGCATTATCTTTTAAAGAGAAAATATTGATCAATCTAAACAATAATTTTCATGGGGAAGTATGAAGTACAAGCTGGGATGCATTTTGATCCAGGAGATTCCTTACCAGTTTGATCTTTGTTTGTCTGCAGACTCCTGCGCAATTCTGACTCGTACCGAAGAACACATCCATCCAAGGAATTCATCAGGAAAACCTCATCGGCTGTGATTATACACCTTATCTGTTCAAGACTGACCACAATGGCTTTCCCTCTCCCTAAAATTGTAGAAGGATAAATGAACAAAGGATCTAAAAGCCGTAGATCTCTTGCTGGCAGAGAGCAATGTCTCATTATGGTAGCTTTGTCTAGCTCCAAAACTTTAGAGTTTCCTTCCTGATCAATCTTTATCCAAGAGCGACTTCCATGACCTCTCTTCTTCGCACTAGATATATTAGAAGCACGGCTTCCATACCCCTCCGCACTAAACCGTGCACTATATTGAGAAGAGCCGGGCTCAGCAATAATGGGCGCGAAGATTGGCCCTCGCCCGCCTTCCATGGATAATAACCGTTCTCTCTGCAGAGGTAACAATGAAATTAAGCCAACGCAATCTACCAGCATGCCACGAGGGTACCGCTACCTCGGCGATTCTGTGAATACAGCAAGCTCTCATTCCCAGCTAGCGAAGGAAGGAACTCCCATAACCATCAAACTTCTTCCTCCAGATGCCACATCCTCTTAATGCCCACCTGAATAGAGAGTAACCAACAGTCAGAACTTAAGAGCGATGATCAGCTGCCACGCGAATCCGGAGTCTTCACTCTTTCGATCTGACTATTCCCACAATGAGTCAAAGTAAAGCTAGAGTTTTTCACTACAAAAAAAGCGGCCACAAGAAAAGAGACACCTCCAAACTCACAAAAGTTACGGACAAATTTACTTGTTCCACAATCCTATTGACCCTCAATTTACTTCCCCGTGGTCGAGGCGAGTTTCCTTGGGTTCGAGAAGGGAGAAACTCATCACACACAAAAAAAAAAAGCACTTTCGAACAAAAGTTAGAAACTTTCAAAAGCTTGAGCTCATAGAACATGGAACCGAGTCAAATGACGCCAAGAACAACCAACTAAAACCTTCACAGCAAGCAATCCCCCTAGCTGCGAACGCCACGAAACCCTAGAAGCTCTCCAATGCCGCAAATCAACCGACGACGAACTACGTTAACAGAAGAATTCGACACTTCAGCCGGGAGGGGTCTCTGTAATCGCAAATGGACAGCAGCCGAGCGCCGGCAACGATCGATTCCGACCAACTTGCCGACTCGAAACAGGAAGATCATCAGATTGGAATGGGGAGTGACCGAGACCAGCCACGGGACGACGCCATCAACCCGAAAAGCAAGATGGAGACGAAGCAGAGCAAGAGAGCAAGAGCGAAATGAGCCGCGAGCAATAGCGACTACTGTACCTCGTAGCTTCGCGAAGATCGCAGGAACCAATCGTGTCCGAGAGAGAGACGTCACAGAAAGCAGAGAGAATCACCGCACCGAAAAGCAAGCGTGGAGGTGCTGTGCGGTCAAAGGCGCTCGCGAATGTTGGACAGGGAAAGAGACACCGCACCACCTCGTCTTTTAGAATTTTGTGCTTGCACGATTGCGTCCTTAAAATATTACCATATTCCTTCGGGATAATTAGACGAATAGTTATTAAATTTTAGCTCCACGCACGACGTCATCCTTTAACTTTTAATTTATTTAATTCGATCATTAAAATTTATTCTGATATGCTTCTTGAATTTTTAATTTGTTTAATATAATCATTAAACTTTTGGTACATGTTCAGTCTAGTTTCTGAACAATATGAAAATGTCCCATTAATGGAAGGGCGTCATCAAACGTTTTTATATAATTCAAGAACTAAAAAGTTCGGGGATCAAATTAAACAAATTAGAAATTCAGAAATGACGTTGCATATTAAGTTAAAAATTCGGAGACCACATTGAGCATATTAAAATTTAAGGTCGACATTGTATACCGAGCCAAAATCTATGGATCGCTCGTGTCATTTTCCTGTTCGTTACGTGGTAATTGCAAACTTAGAAAGTTTAAAATATAACTATAACTATTTTCTATTGAAAGAATAATTAGGTGAAAAAAAAGAGCCAAAAAAATATTATTGAGGCTGGGGTGGAGAAGGGGATTACAGGACGGTGGCGTCATCGCCTAGCCACGAACGACAAGGGTGGAAGGATCCTAATTTGTGTCATTTTCCCTGTTTCATGTTTCTCGTTCTTGTTTATTCGTTCGCTCTAGCGGTCTTGTAAATTTTTTTTTAAGAAAAGGGTCGAGATTACCATCCGAGTTTTAAGATTTAAGTGCTACCATGGTCTCTAATCTCGGAAACCTTCTAAAGATAAGAAAATTGGTAAAAATATATGTAGCAATCTCCAACCACTCGTAATAAGATTTTAACAGTACTATTTGGACTCTCGGTTTCACTCAAAAACCAAAAGGAGATGTATCCTTCTTGGTTGTTTGTTTGGACTTTGAAGATTTCAAGTGTTTTGTTCTTCACTCTTACTCTTTACACCCCCTCCTCGTTCGTCAAGCGTAAGTTTCATCAATAAGCAAAGGTAGTTCGAAAAGATTGCAGGCTAGTAATGATCATCCCCTTTTTTGTTGTCTCCAGGAGATTTGGAGCAAAATTAGCTTTAGCTGGGAGCGGGGTCGGAGAAGCGGTCACCTTCAAAGACGGATTCTCGGTTCGGCGAACAAGGGTCGACCCACCCGGATTCCGGCATGGCGTAGAACAGCCTCTTCTCAGTGGAGCTGGAGTATATGGCTTCCTGGTGCGAAGCGTAATGGCCAGGCAGGGGCATCTGTGACACATCGCCAACCTTGCGGAAGACGAGGTCCCTGTGACATGTCGGACTTGGAGTGTGGAGGAGAAGAGACAATTTGCCAGGGGACGAGGTCGAGGCAAGCGAACTCCGTCTTCATGTGGCGGAGGAGGCGGGCTTGAGCTTGTGGGAGAGGCCGGAGCAGACGGTATGGGAGGGTCGTGACAGCCGGGAGGGGGACGACGGAACCGTGGGGGGAGAGAATGAGGCGTTGAAGAGGTAGGAAAACCAGGTTTTTCGGGTCAACGAGGAAGAACCAGCCGTTGGCAAAGCCAACCCAGCAGGGCTCCCTGGAGAGCATGACGTCCCGGTTCCACTGGCTGAACCGGTGGTAGCACTCTGCCGCCGCGTTGTCCATCACGTGGCTAAACAGGTAGCGGCTGATGCTTTAACCACCATCCTCAGCCGCAGAGCCGCCCTGGTTTAAGCAGCTGCAGAGGCGGGAAGGAGGGGCCGGGGGGGAGGCGGCCGGCGGCGCGAACGAAGGATTGCTTAAAAGGCACATTTGCTTGAGCAGCGAGCGAAAGGGCTTTTTGCCTGACTATAAAGTTGAGTATGGTAACATGAAGCATCTTGCTCGGTTCGATTTAGAGCTAATTTTCTATTCGATTTCTCTTTTTGTCCCTTTTTATTCCTATTTTGTTCAATCAGTCGTTTAACTAGCTTTTGCCATTAATCATGGACATTAGAGTCAAATAGCCCTTGTTAGTTTAGTTTGGTTTCAATTTTTCCCAAACTCCTAACGCTCGGTTTGATTTGGAGGGTGAACCGAACCGTGATCGTCTCGCATTCGATTAAACCATCCAATCACCACAGCGGACGGACGGCATCAGTACTTAAGACACAAAGTCGTGCGAAAACCCGAGATCCCAAAAAAAAATCAGTAATGATATGTACGGAACGCAATTTGGCTTAAAGAATATGGTACTAAATACTATTTCTCTCTTAAGATATAAAAATTATCATATGTTTGGTTCATCATTCCGTCCAGTTTCATCGACAGAATAATTATGAATTCCCCGCATCACCGCTAGCGCAGCTATTTATTTTGATAGTTCGTTTGTATAAAGAATAAATATATTAAAAGTCCTAAAACTTATCGCGAAAATACATTTATATTTCAAAACTTTCAAAAAGTACAATTAAGTTCTCAAACTTATCACTAAAATGCAATCAAATCCTAAAACTTGTTAAATTAATCTAATCAAATTCTTCCATTGATTACACTTTTTAAAATTTTAAAATTCGATTGAACTTTTATGATAAGTTTTAAGACTTGATTGCACTTTTTTGAAAATACTTTCGCAATACATTTTAAGACTTCCAGTGCATTTATCCCTTCGTAAAACATATTCCAAAGAACTGTTCATGCAATGACGAAACGGGAAAAATTGTTCTATCCATCTTAATTGCCAAATTCTGATTAACGGTCAATTAACCAAAATGATTCCGGGCCGCAAGATCCGAATTCCGAGATCAATTTCTTCTATGGTGAATGTACAGATTTGATCATGCATCATTTCAAATTTGTAAACAATATGAAACATGCTCGATCTTCGAATAAGCCCTATTTTCATTCGAGTTCCTCCGCATCCTCCCCTTGCTCCCGAACCAATTTTAAGGTGTGCTTATGAAGCAACAGATGAGCGACAGAGTTTACCGCGGAAAAGGACCTGGGTTCGGGTTTATGACAATATGCCTGAGAGGATGAGCGACCTCGCCTCCACCGGCGTGCTTCACAAACTCCGCCGGAGAGTAGAAGCTCCCGTGGCACACGCACATTATCCGGACTTCCTCCCCTTTCCCGTACTTGTAGAGGATCCCATCGACTCTCCGCCCATTCGGACCCTCACCCTTCGTGAAGACACAAGGCATGTCCTCCATCGTGCTGGTGCTGGTTTCCTTGCCCCTGCTCTCGGAAGAATCGGGTCCCTGGGTGCTCGTCATCTGTTCTACCGAGACTCCCCCGGATGAACCAACGGTGTCCTGACTAACCCGCTGTTGCAGTGTCTGACTGCCAAGGGAGCTTCTTGCATCGCTGCAGCCGCTTGATCCTGATATAGAAGATCCATATGATGACCTTAGCCAGTAATTAATCCTCCATTATTCTTGTTATTTATATTTTTTGCCCTCGACATATGTTAGTTTCATAGCAAAGGCAAAATAAAGAAAAAAGCTTCGTCTAGTTGTACAGGTTCTATGTGTCTGCATCTACAAGCTACTTTTGACTTCATACATTAAAGGATATAAGAGATTCATGTGATCGTATTTGTCAAAAGATCAAACAAACAACATAAATGAGTTCTGGAAAATTTACAGCAAGACAAAAGTCAAACATAGAAGTCGCTCCAGAGTAGTTTTAACTTGACATTATGTAACACGCGGTATGCAAAACGAACCGAGTAATCAGCAGACAGGGCAGAAAATATACACACATTTCCCAGAGAGAGAGAGAGAGAGAGAAGCTTACATCAATCAATGGCATGAGAGAACAAAACTGAGAAATCTACTGAGTCAAGTCATAATTCGCAGCTCTAACAGCAATGTGCTCTAGGACATTTCCAGAGTGAAAAGCTTCAGAATATCCGAATCCAATGGATTACTGTGCGCACTCGGGTGACTAGTATTATCCAAAAGATTCAGTATTGAAGTTCCACAGTTACTGGAGTAGCAACATCTCCTGCAGAATGTCTGGTTCCTCTCTATTTTTTCCCCAATAAGATAGGAATTTTCACAGATACAGAAACGCAGCAATAGACCATTCCTACTACAGGCCCCTGATTCCAATAAGCACCACCTCATTAGCTCATACACCCCAATTGCACTCGGTGACTATTCTCTTTCTATTGTCCTTAACTGTATAATCTGCTGGTAATCCTGTCTAACTGTAAGCTAGAAAACAACACTTTGTATGGAATTAGAAACATCAAATTACCATCAGGAGGATCTTTCTTGCTGTTCAACTATAATCTCTCGGACTTCTCCGATATCCTTCCTTGGAAGTTTGATGAATCACTTTCCATAAATTTTATGTACTGTAAGAGCCCTCCATAGTCTCCAATAGCGCTTTTCAAGCTACAAGTCACAGACATTGCAAAACTAACTTGATCTTTTGCTAGACCCCATGGGTTTGATTAGGCTCATCAATTCCCCATACCATCCAAAGTGTAAACAATTCCATTTTGAGCCAATCACTCGGCCTTTGGTTTACACTATACCAGGTCCACGAGGTGAGCCGGGTGCTTCATAATCCTAACCTTCCTTGTTGAAAAAATAATGGTGTTTTTTGAACTACAAGCACAAGAACATCCCAGGATGCAATCATTTCCTAAAACATAACATTTATTACAGTGGTTTTACTCTTTCTTATAAGCTGAAGAAAAATGTCCTTCAACATTCTCTAAGCATGTCAGAAAGAAGACTAATCAACTGTTACCACGTCAAATGGTGAATTGCATCCTTTTAAAGGGGATGAATAACAAAATATTTGATTGGAACCAAAGTGGAGGTATGAACTAGAAGGTAATTTTCCATTTTACTGTAAGATTCTGCAAAAATAACATACATTGCATAGCCGAAAATGCACTTTCATCACTCCAACAGTTTGACAGAGTCGCGAGAAAGTGAACCAATGTAACTACTAAAATAATCTTTGCTTCCACAGCACTAGATAACCAGGAATGTCAAAGAGGGATTCTAGGAAACTAGATTCGAAGTCCTCTATGAAACCATTTCTTAGAACAATGTCAATGTCATACCAACAAATTTTAGCGGCCCTATCTAGCTATGCTCCTGCTCTCTGTACTGAAAATAATAACAGGCATTTGCTCGTCAGTCTTCCAAAATAAGCATCCTGATTAAACATTTTTTAATTTAGTAGTAGGCCACGTTTGCTTCTTGTCTACAAATAGTTTTTACTTCAAGAATAAGAATTCCCTGAGTAAGACCAGTGCTATATTAATCTCGGGAGGAGCCATACCTAAAAATGTCCGGATTCCAAGGTTAGAACCATGTCATGCTTCGAGCAAAATTCTACTTGACTGAAATGAATTTGTAGATCAGAACTTCCGGTGATCGCCTATACCCTCTCATACAAAAATCTTGACCAGCACATCTCAGAGCCCCACCCCAGTTTTCTTCTCTCAGTTCCAATGTGTTACATTGTCCTATTTGGACTCTTGGTTCTTCAGTTCGACTGTCATCTTTCCATCCTAAATGAGTCTCAACTGGAGCTGACTCCATAGGCAACTCAACAGGTGCTAGAGAAAGAATTAGCTGCTATTTTAAAAATATGAACCTGAAAAGTTCCTAGTGTTAGGTGAGAAATATCTAGAAAGAAAACTTTCTGATTACTTCAACAAGCAATGAACTCACATATTCAAACTGTTTGGTGGCCAAGAGATTATAGCAACAGTCCTAGGAATTCACATGGTCTTTGTCAAGACTTGTATACCTCAAGTTAAGGCTTTCAAATCAGCTTTTTGTGTTGCCCTATATTTGACATAAATTATCGATAGTCTTATCAATGGAAACTCATACAGACTCCCGAATCACGGCACCCGATCGACCCACACCATTCAATCACACACTAACCTTGTTTTCATCCTTCTTCCAAAATTGATGAAATGTAACACTCAATAATTGATTCGGGTGGACAAAAATGTCGAGGCCACAGTTCGCATAAAACCCTACCTAAGGATGATATCGAACACAAAAACCACCCAAGCACATAGTTAATTTCATTTCTTGTGCACGTTCTTCCACTGATGCCTATGGATATATGGTACTCTAGGAACAGAATCATCCGACCCAAAGTCAATCCGACTCTCAGTAATAGACCTAAAACAACCAAAACAAAACCCCCAGCAAAAAGAATGGACACAAAAGTGGAACTTTTTTTGGCCAAGCTTACCTACCAAAACAAGAAACATCCAGAGACAAATCCAGAGAGAAAAAAAATAATTGCAGACACCGACAACCTCAAATTACACAAATTCCGCACAAAGTAGATAAAACCAAATTCTTAAGTGTCTAGTAAAACGGCGACAAGAGCACGGCAACAGCAAGGACATTACCTTGTTTAGCAGCCGGAACACCCACCTGGGTCTCGATCTCGAGCTTATCATCCTTCACGCTCCGCTGCTTCTCCGACCGCCTCCGCTTCGCCTCCATCCGCCGCAGCGTCTGCAGCTCCTTCCTCTTCCTCCATTCCTCCTCCGTCTCCGTCGGGAGGGAGCTGCTCCTCACCAGGGCCGTGTAAGACGGCGTGGGCGGCGTCGTCCTCGCCGCCGAATCGTCCTCCCTGAACAGCGGGAACGACCCGGCAATGGAGGACGATCTGGTCAGCCTCTTGGAGCTCTTGTCGACCCCGAATCGGCCCCCCAGCGAGAGCCCCAGGCTCAGCTCGAGCTCCTCCGTTTCTTGGTTCGGCGTCCTGTACTCCGACGACGGGCGCGACTGCGACTGCGACTGCGACTGCGACGCGGCACCGCTGCCGGACGTGCTCGACGACGACGACGTAAATCTCTGAAGCAGATCTCTCGGGAACCTCTCGAGGCGCAGGGAGACGTTCTCCATTGGACTGCTGGTCCTCCGAACTTCTTTCCCGTCGCCCATGTCCCCCGTTCTCGCTACGCAAGCGGACGCTCGCCCCCGCTCCGCCTATGACTCCTTGGACGACGAACCGTGCGACGACGCTGGCCTTTCGAGGGGAAGAGCCGTTCCATTTGCAGAAGAAGCAGCAGCACCACCTCGACTTCCTCGTCGAAGAAGGCCCGTCGTGGAAGCCGGGCGACGAATCATGAAAATCAAGAACCCAGATGAATATTCAGACCAAAGATAGGAAAATTTCTCCGAGATTTTCTTCCCCCTTTTGGTTTCCGCGGGGGGGGGGGGGGCAAAGCAATAATGGGCAGAGATTATCGTCCCGTTTCGCTGACCATTACCGCGAAAAGAGGAAGGGTCAAACACGCAACGAAGAAGAAGAAGGAATGGAAGAACAGGGGAAGCGAAGCAGGATGATGAAGGAAGGGTGGGGGGTGGGGGAACAGAGAAACTGAAAGCGGAAGAGCAATGGAATGGAATGATGGGGGGGGGGGGGGAGTACGTGTTACGGTGTTAGAGAGAGAGAAGAGGGGGAGGGAGGAGGGGGTGTGGTGTGACGGAAATGCCCTTGGTGTTTGGACAAGAAAGTACCTAGAAAGGACAAGCGTCGATCCTGAAGTAGCGCCTGGTCGACACGTGGTCTGACCGAGCACGGTGCGCGCACTGGCGATTGCCTTTCTTCCCCCTTCTCTCTCTCTCTCTCTCTTTATTTATTCATTAAATTTCTCTTTCCTTTCGAGACCGATGCGTTTTCCCAAGGGGGAAAAAAACAAAACAAAACAAACAAAAACTCCGTGGTGCAAACAAAGAAAAAAAGTTTATTTTATTTAGATGAATAAATTAAAAATAATTGTCTGATCGCAACAATTTATGGATGAATTTTAAATTATATTTTATAGGAATAACGACATAAATAGTTTCTGAACTTCGCATCGATATGTACCGTGATCCCTTTAGCCTAATAAGCAAGTTGTCCCATATCACGTTGAATAAATTAAAAATTCGTAAATTCACATTATACGTTGGGTCAAAATCTTGAAATCGTTTGTAATATTTTTCCCATTTTATATAATATTCTCATGACAAATTAACTTAATACGGCCAAACCAACTTTCTTTCCGTTTTTTCCCAAAAGAAATAATTATGATAAAAAAAGGAGAAGAAAGGAATAGCATAAAAAAGGGGTGCCTCCGTTGCTGGTCGGGAAGGGGAGAGCCTACCAATGGTCTGTCCAAGTAGGGGAACAAGTTGAGGGGGAGGGGTAGCGGGGGGACACGTGTCGCGAGGCGGGGGGCGGTGCAGGCTGACTGGGAACACGTGTTCCCGCTCGACATAATTGAGGGGGCGAAACCCCACGTGTCGTAATTCCTTTGGCTTTCCGAAGATGCGGCGTTGGATTTTGTGCCCCGCGAATTTCTCCCCTCTTTTGCCCTCCCCCCTTCCTTAGCTGTCTCTGACTTCGACCCCCACCCGCACAAAAAAAAAAAAGAGGAAACAACGTCCTTTCTTTCGCCTTTTTAGAAACAACGCCTTTTCAACTCATATTAAAAGAAGACGAACTACTGATCGACACAAAAGAGAGGAAAAAAAAAAAGGGACGAACTGGTTTTTATTTGGAATAATGACACAAACTATTCTAAATTTTGGCTCGATAAGTAACGTGGTTTATTTATAAATTTTTAATTTGTTCAATGTGATTCGTTAATTTTGACTCGGCGTGCAATGTGGTTCCTGAATTTTTAATTTGTCCTATGTGATTCCCAAACTTTTGGTCCCCAAGCAGTTCGTCTTTTTTTTTTTTTCAGGGACCACGTTGTACGTTGGGTTAAAGTTAATGGATCACGTTGAACAGATTAAAAGTTCAAGGACCACATTGCACATTGAGCCAAAGTTCGGGAATTGTTTATGTCATTTTCCCTTTTATTTCCGCATTATGTTTCATGTGAACATTTTTCGGGGCTGAGATCAAAGATCAAGACATAGCATATTGTCCGAGGCTGCCACAACATAATTTTACATATAAATATTTTAGTCGAACCGACCCCCCTGCCCGCCCCAGACCAAAGTCGAGCGACACTCACTTTAGTGCCATGACTTTTTTTTCTATCACTTGAGTAACATCGCTTATGTATCGCGTTCACTTAAGTACCATAACTTTTTTTTTCGGATCACTTAAGTGCTATATGACTTTTCAATCGATCACTTAAGTGTCATAATTATAGAAAAACGTTCACTACAAATTTCACGCCATATCTGACTTCGAGTACCTGAATGAACGTTTTTAAAAAGTTTATAGCACTAAGTAATCATTAAAAAGTTTTTTTTTCTTTTTTTTGTTTCGACCAAAAAAAAGGAACACTTTTTAAAAGTTGTGGCACTTAAGCACTCGAAAAAAAGTTATGGCTCTCAAGTGAGCGTCATAAGAAAATTATTGTACTTAAAATATTCTTATCACGTCCTCTTGGTGAACGACGATTAACCAGTAAAAAGCAGTAAAGTCGTACACTTCATGCGGAGAACCAACCCAAAGAAATGAAGATTGTCAGTGAAAATTAATTATAACTAAGGCTTCGTTGGTTTCGAGAAAAATAAATAATTTGAAAAGAATTTTTCAAAAAATAGTTGTTTGTATCGCTTAGGATAATCAGTCGATGAGAAACGTTTTCATTATCAATAATAATTTATAGTTAAATACCTTCATGAAAGATAAAATTATTTTCTACTCATTTGTTTTTGTAAGTGATTCGATTGAATTTTCAGGGAAATATTTTTTTCGTGAAAAAAATAGAGCCTAAACTAATAGAAATTACTAGCTATAGTAATAGTAGGAAAGTACTTCTTTCCAACTTAAAAGCTACTTATCGCATTGAAAAAGTCATTATGTAACCATCAAAATGTTGAAATTTGTTTTCCGATATGAAAAGTTACAAACAACATGAATAGGCCACTAATTTTTGGGGCTTATTTGGTGTGACTATTTAGGGATAATAAAAAAAATAGTTTCTGAACTTTGGTCCAATATGTAATTTGGTCCCTGAACTTTTAATTTGTTCATTATGGTTTATGAACTTTCGGTACGTGTTCAATTTAGTCCCCGAACTATATGAAAATATTCAATGTAATTCCTGAACTTGAATTAATTGAAAGATTACATTGAACATTTTCATATATTTTAGAGATCAAATTGAATATGTACCGAAAGTTCAGGGATTAAATTGAACAAATTAAAAATTCATGGACCATATTGCACATTGGATTAAAGTTCAGGGACCGCATTGAACAAATTAAAAGTTCAGGGATCAAATTGCACATTGGGCCAAAGTTCTGGAGTTATTTGTGTCATTTTCCCGACTATTTATTAGTTACTTATTGGTTGGCCAAAAATTAAAATAGTTACTTATGACTTTTATTTATGAGTTTTTCCGTAAAATTTAGAAATGAAAGGATTACTTAGTTTTAAAAAGATTTTGATAAATTATGTACGAATTTGTTTTGCCGTAATTTTTCTCACGACAAAATACATTTCGCCAAAAGTCGTTTTTTGATTTTTATTTGAAGGAGACAGGTTTTGCACTGACTCCGGTCAAGATATATCATGCTTGAATGAGGAAATCAACCACTTCAATTCAAACGGAGCTATACAAGTGCAAATCGTGCCGAAATTTAATCGACCAAAAGGCTTGTAAAGTACAATAACTACAACAAAACCTAACGTAAACAAATCGTGCAGGAATTTAAATGACGACAAAGCCTTTACGCCGGAATTTAATCGACGACACAACACCCTGGATATTGAATCTTGCCGGAATTTAATCAACGATGCGGATTTGAAAATTATAGTTAAGAAACACGCCGGAATTTAATCAATGACATGAGTCTGAAATATTAAAGTAAAGAGAAAATAGCCGAAAGATAATATATTTGTTTGATTTGTGTGAGTGAATCTTTCAAAGAGTGCGATGTGGTTATTTAAAGCCTACGATCGACAGTTATCAACGGAAGTTACAAAATGGAGGTTATAAACAGATTTTACAAACGGTTACCGAACGGTTGCAACGACACTTACATTGATTCCACCATCTTGGCGATTTCTTCGACTCCACCATCTTGACTTTTGCTTTATTCTACTACGTTTTGGTTATTTCTTTAACGGTTGTATCCGAGATTGTCGACTCCACTTTTTGCCGACTCCTTCAAGTTGTTGATTCATCACGTTATCAATTTATCAAGTTATCGATAATTCTGTTCATAAATGGCCAAACTATGCTCTCATTGACTAAATCTATCACATATCGATAATAACAAAAACCGGTCATTTTTTTATGTAAATATATTAAACCATTGTTTTGTATATATTTTGATAGGTCGCAAACCCTTTTCTTTAAATAAAATTCAGTGAAAGCTCGTTTAACTGCCATCTACTTTATATTCTGCAGATGCCCCCCATTTATATGATTCTCTCGACCTCGTGATATGCCTACAAGCTCCATCGTCCATGCGAAGTCTCGCGTTCATCATCCATTGGAAGCCCCGCATGAATTCCTCAGCATCTATTCCGTCGAATTGTTACGACGGGAGCATGCCCACCGCACGTTTGAATGACAAGGCCATGAGCACTAGAAGTGCATGATCGTTGCTTGTGTAGACGGAACTCCATTGTCCCTCGACAAGCTAGGTGAAAAGTTTTAAGCCGAGAAATAGGTCGAGGTCGAGATTCTTTATGCGAGAGTTATACAATAACAGAGGCCCGGCTGAGTGGTTGTGAGGCAGCCTAGTCCTGTGAAGATTTACCCGACAACGCTGAGCCTGTCACTCCTGGGGGAGTTGCCGACTCATGCAAGGTCCCGACCCCCGCGTTGCTGCCGAGCCGAGTCGACTTGCCCGATCTCCTTCCTGCCCATACCAGATCCGGCTTTGCCGCAGCAGGCGGTGGCGCTACCTGAGAGCCCTAGGTACATCGGCAATGACTATGTCGTACTGAGGGCCAGGGTTGAGTTCTTGCAGTTCCAGACGGAGTTCGTGGCTGTGATGCAGGGCCGTGTCTTCCTCCACCCATGATTGGAGTTGTCCTGACTAGTTTTCTCATCGGTGGGTGGGTAACAAAAGTGCGCAATGTCCTCCTTTTATAACCCTCGAATTATAAAATTAGATGGGAGAGCTTTTCCACCGACCGGTGATTAAGGAAAATATGGCACCTAGTTTCGTCGAAAATGGTCATCGACAAAATACCTTCCACCGAACATCTACGAAGAGACAGGTTTCTGTTCCGGACAGGAGTATCAATGAATCACAAGGAACAAATACCTTTCGTCGAAATTTAATCGACGATAAAGTGAGATGATGAGAGATAGTACACCAGAATTTAATTGACGACGAATGATTCGTTTGTTTCGCGGAAAACTTAATGATAAAGGAAA